CGATATCTAAATATGGAAAATTTTATACAATCAAAAATTGCCCATGCGATTTACAAAAAGCTAAGTAAATATTGGCCAATTATGGATGAAACATTACAAATTTCATCTTTACTAGACCCAGCAATCAAATTATTGGCATTTAGTAATGAAGTGGAAAAAAATTGAGTAAAGCAAGTGATTTTAAATCTTCCGGGATATAATAATGATAAATCGAAATCAACACAATTATCGATAGACACCTCAACAGATGATTTTATTGATACTCGAAATTATTTTCAATCATTACGAAATCATAGGACAATTACTTTCACTAATACTTCTATTTATTCCACCCCATCTATTCCTTCTGCCTATTCTATTTCTCCTACCTCAACTTCTTCCACCCAAACCATTTATCCTACCTCATCTATTTCTATTACTTTTAATGAACTATCAAGTAGTCTACGAAATGAACTAGAAAAATATTTATTACTACCATTGGAGGATAATTCGAATCCATTAGTATAGTGACAAATGCAAAAAGAATACCCGACTTTAAGTTTAATTGCAAGGGACTATTTGTCTATACAAGCCACTAGTGTGGCTTCAGAACAAGCATTCTCTGTAGCCGGTCTTACTATTTCAAGTAAAAGGAATAGATTAGATGACGAATCTGCAAGGGCGATTCTGTGCCTAAAAAGTTGGCTTCAGAAAGGAATTTGCCATATGGATAATTAGAAAACTAATGCTATTATTTTATTGTATTAAATAGCCTCATTAAATTAGCTTGCATAAAGAAAAGATATATGTTTCATTAAAAGAAATAGCATAGACAATGAATTTGTAAGGGTAATTCTGTGCCTAAAAAGTTTGCATCAAAAGAAAATTTGCAATATTGAGGATAATTAGAATGCTATGATTATTTTATTGCTTCATTAAATTAGTTTCGCATAAGAAAGTACATTTAACAATAATATTTAGCATATGTAATAATTATAAAATTCGGGCTATAACACTTTAAAATATTTCGCATTAATAAGATATTTGAATGTGAGTGTATTGAAACTTAAAAATTGATAAAAAAATAAAAACCGATAACGAATGTATTAAAAAAATTCTTATCGTGAGACCAATGTTCGTCAGACCGATTTTAGGACCGAAAAACAGACTGACCGGACTAACTAACATTATTAAT